TCACATTATTTTTTGCAGTTGAGTTGTATGAGATATATATATATATATTTTTGGATATTAATCCCTTATCATATATGATCTGTAAATATTTTCTCCCATCTAGTAGGTTGCCTTTTCATTTATCGATGATTTCCTTTGCTGTGCAGAAATGTTTTAGTTTGATGTAGTCTTGCTTTTTATTTTTGCTTTGATTGCCTTTGCTTTCGGTATCAGATCTTAAAAATTATTGCATGACTCATGTCAAGGAGGTTACCATCCATGTTTTCTTCTAAGAGTTTTATGATTTCATTCAAGTCTTTAATCCATTTTGAGTTGATTTTTGTGTATAGTGTAAGGTAGTGGTCCAGTTTTATTCTTTTGCATGTGGCTATCCAGTTCTCAACACCATTTATTAAAGAGACTAAATTCATCAATCGATTGTAAATTCATTTACCATGTACGCATGAATCTATTTCTTGGCTCTCTATTTCCATTGATCTATGTTTCTTTTCATACCAATATCATACTGTTTTGATTACTGTAGCTTTGGAATATAGTTTGAACTCAGGGTGCCTTCTTTGTTCTTTTTCAAGATTGCTTTGTTTGGCTGTTAGGAGTCTCTTTTGTTTCCATACAAATTTCAGGATTGTTTGTTCTATTTTTGTGAAAAATGACTTTGGAATTTGGATTGTGGTTGCACTGAATTTCTAGATTGCTTCGGGTAAGGCTTTGCATTTGGATAAAATACAGAAGTGCTGGAATTTGGGTGACCAATGATGATTCATTTAATGTCTGATTTTTTTTTAAAGTCAAGAATTGATAATATCATTGTTAGCAGGGATAGTCTTAAAAGAAGCACATGAAAAGAATATTATATCACTGCACACCTTTGTGAGATCAGGTTATGGATCTCAAATGATGGCAAAACTATTACTGATGTGTAGAATTTTGACTTTAAAAAAAATGCTTGAGAGCGATATCACCTGGGCTACCTATAACATATGAGTGTCCATGACCATGAGGTCACCAGAAACAAACAGATTAACAGGGAAAGCATCACCTGAATTTCACTATTAGGATACATAAATTAAAACAGCATATGAAACAATTTGTATTTAAGTTGGAAATCTTTCAGTATGGCTCCATGAATTCATGAATGAAAATGAGCTGTGGAAGGCACGGAAAAGGCATCCTAAAAAACGTGTCTGGGATGGTTTCAAAGAATTGCATAAACGAAACCTGGGAAACACCGTGGAGTGTTGTGCAGAAATATTCACGAAGCACAAGAGGTCAATAATAATAGCATTTCCAGTTTATGTGAGACTGTTAATTTCTATTTACCAAAATAATATATATTTAATCATAGATTAGAATATCAGAATGTATAGAAACAGCATGACAATAATCTCTTTTTAAGGTTGTTTTTTTTTCTTCTGACATTTGCTATTATTTTGGCCACTCAGCATCTAAAATTTCCTCCTACGTTAGAATTCCCTACTTTTGTATCTAGGTGGTAGAGGTTGAAAATCTCAAATGCTTGTTTTCCTATGCTTCTTTGTAGTTAATATGCAGACGTATGACCTGGGGCCACCATTTAGATCCACTTATACTAGATTTTGGTTTAGGAGCTAGTTATAAAAAATAAAACAAGCAGCAACAGCATCACCAAAGCATGCATGCGTGTGTGTGTGTGTGTACACACATATACATAAAACTAAATCTAGAAATAATGAAGGGCTCTCTTTGGAAGAGTCAATTATAGTAGTTAAGAAAAAAACACTAAAAAAAGTGGCTCCTGGTGCGGAACTAGCAACAGTGTTGGGGGATGGAGTGTGTGCACAGGTGTTAAGATCTATTTCCCTGAGAACTACTTAATATTGTTTTTTAAAATTTAATCAGTTTTTTTTTGGTGACACTGGTGAATGAAATTCAGTATATTTCAGATGTGCAATTTAACAGTAAGGCATACACACACACAAACGTGTATGTGTGTGTCTATTGCATTGTGTGTTCCCCTCCCATAGTTAGATTTCTTTCTGTCACCACATATTTGACTCCTTTACAACATCTACCACTCCCCTCCCCGCTCCCCTACCCTCTGATAACCACTAGTCTCTTGTCCATGTTGTTAAGTCTCTATTCGTTTGTCCTGTTTGTTGCTTTTAGGTTTATATCCCATATATAAGTGATTATCATGCAACTTTCAACTTTTTCTGTCTGGCTTATTTCACTTAGCATAATCTCAAGGTCCATCCATGTTGTTGCAAATGGCAGTATTTCATCTCTTATGGCTAGGTGATATTCCATTGTATATATGTACCACAGCTTCTTTAGCCAGTCATCTATTGTAGGACACTTCAGTTGCTTCCATGTCCTGGCCACTGAATAATGTTGCTATGAACATCAGTGTGCAGATATCTTTTTGGATATGAGTTTTCAAGTTTTGGGGTAAATACCCAGTAGAGGGATTGCTGGATCATATGGTAAATCAATTCTTAGTATTTTGAGGAACCTCCATACTATTTTCCATAGTGGCTGCACCAATTTGCAGTCCCACCAGCAGTGTATGAGGGTTCTTTTTTCTCTGCATCCTCTCCAACACTAATTATTACTTGTCCTGTTGATAACAGCTATTCTAATGGGTGTGGTTTTGATTTACATTTCCCTAATAGTGATGATGAGCATCTTTTTCAAGTTCGTTGCCATTTGTATGTCTTCCTGGGAGAAGTGTCTGTTCGGGTCCTCTGCCCATTTTTTGATTGGATTGTTTGTTGAGATGTATGAGGTTTTTTGTATATTTTGGATATTAGGCCCTTATTGGAGACGTTGCTTGCAAATGTATTTTCCCATTAGGATGGTTGTCTCTTTAATATTTTTAATCAACTTGTCTGATTTAACATAGGTAGATATTTCTTTATAAATTAGGATCAAACCATGTAGTTTTATGCCTGGCCTTTTAATGCTGTTTTCCATGCCATTCTTTGATAATATTATTCTAAGTGATTAACTGTCCTGCTATTGAATATTTAGTGTCTAATATTTTGCTGCCACAAGGCTTCAAAGAATATTCTTGTATGTAAATCTTTGACTAGATCTCTGCTTATTGCTTTAGGATAAATTCCTAAATAGATATTCTATTTTTAATCTTTTAGATTACTAAATAGATTTACTAAGTAGATTACTAAATAGATTTACTAAGATTACTAAATCAGTGAAATTTGAACCTTTTAAAGGCTCTTCATACAATTGTAAAATTTCTCTCCAGAGGTAGCTGACCTACTTTTTGAATGTCAATGGGTTTTGACTATAAAGCATTGACATTGAACTTTTATTAGAATATCAGACATGAAAACATTTTTTAAAATAATTTACCTGTCATGAAAGTATACTACCTGCATGACCTGGCAATATAGAGACATTATCACATTTGATCCTCACAGTGGCACTTTTTGTTTGTACTTGCAGCCTCATCAATAAAATGGGGGAAAGTGGCCAAATATCTCATAAAGTGTGGACCCCAGAATCAAGCATTGGATTTTTGATTTCAAAATTCTGTCATTTGACTTCATTTTCTATCATTGTAACTCAAGATTTAAGTCATTTTTGTGTTTTGAAATGAATACTTGGGAGAAAAGAAGTATGGGTGAGTTGGAAGTAGTAGAGAGGAAGAGAGAAGCAGTCGTAAAGCATATTCTTAGTTAAAAGAATTTACAAATTGACCAAATACAGTGTTAGCAGGGCATTTTAACCAATGATTATTTATTAAAAGCCAGGGGTGCACCAGGCACAATTCTTGTCCAGTAGGCTAACAAATATAAATGATGTAAGAATTCACTTATTAGCTTATTTGATTAAACAAAATACATTTCATAGAAATGATTATAAAAATGCATTATAGATAGAAACAGAATATCTTTTTATTACAGATCTTACAGTACCTAAATAATTATTAATAAAAACCAGGCAACCCATATGTAAATAGAAATTAGCAAACCACAAGTTATTTATTTTAGTCAGCAAAAGTATATTATCATGCTGAAATGGGTTTCAGCATTCAATATAGACATCCCATTTCAGAACGAACATAGTCCACCTATAAACTTAAAAAGTTGGTGTTTTTAATCCCGTATCAAATCGCTATTATACTTTTTGGTTTAAAGATTAGTTTTGGTTTCAAAGTAAGTTTATTTAGTACTTTAGTCCCATGTCTCACAGATTCTTGACCTGGGTGGTCAAGTTAAGTATTATATTAGAGAAACAAAACACAACACAAACGGGATCGTTTAATCTGCTTTGCCCAATATTCTTGTCAATACTCAGTTGAGAAGTTAAGATACACAGATGATTTAAACCAGAACATAAGAGCAGAAGGGAAAAAAAAGACAAAATGCTGGTGTTACTTCTTTGAAGAAAGTGTGCTCATGAGAGCTATTTATTGCCTTTTGGAGACTCATTTCTAATTCTTTAAAGGGTCATATCGGGTTTGCTGGCACATGATATATCCCTTAGTTTGAAGGCTGGGGTGTAAAGGAGAGAAATGGAGGGTGGGAAGGACTGAAAAGGCTTCAAGTGGAGTGTGTTTGCTGACACAGTCACAATAACCACTGAACCACAGTCAACCAATAGAGTGTCCACCAGGTCTTTCTTGAGACCTCCTGAGATGGGTCTGTCTTCTTCAGGCAGCAGCACTAAAAACTTCCTCAGAGAGTCAAGGTCAACTTTTATTGCACAGGAACCAAAATTATTCCCCCTCCCCTTTTTCCTGAGCTGGAGACCTCCAAGTGCAAACACGGCTGGGGATGCCCGTCTGTTTGCTCCTCTGGCCAGCAGGGAGCGCTCCACTACAACGCCTCTGGGAGCACCTTCTTCAAAGGGAAGCACGAGGTATTATGTTGGCCCAGGCAATCTGATCAGTCAGTCACCATTCTCAAGCAACTTCTGCAAGTTGTTCTGTATCTTGAAATAATAAAAGAGAAGCTCTTGTAATTAAATAGAATGGAATACATTAAGGGCATATTTGCTGTAGCCTGTATAATGCGTGAGATTATTCTCCCTTGAATAAAAAGCTACACATAGGTTAAATTTAGTTCAGGCAAACAAATGCTTTTTATTGGAACAGAATTCTGTTTGACAACCCACTTTAAAATGAAAACAGATAGGGCTGGAAACGAAAGAGTGGCACAAAGATGAAAATGTCAGTAGAAAGTAAGAGATATCAGATGGAAGAAAAAGAACAAAAGCACTGGTGACACCAGGTGTGACCCAAATGCATTCAGAGACAATGGGGAAATGTCTTTACAGAGCCCATTTGATGCTCTGAACCAAATGCCATATAATAATGTTCAGCACTCCTATTAGGTCTGTTACACATTCTTGCGAAGACTGAATTTCACAGGGACAGGGACAGGGACCGTGCCATATCTTTGGATCTCAAGACGGTAGTATAGCCTTGATGTGCTCAGTAAATGTTTGCTGAGTAAATGAACTTTAAAGATCCAGAGCAATGAATTCTCAACAACTAGTACTGTGATGGGAGCAGGGAATCCTATGGAACAACAGAAAAATATAGCCTTCTTTTGTAAGGAGAGTCTGTGATGTCCTACAGGCATACAAAGTGTCAGCAAAGAGGAAGGGACCCAATGTGTGTATGTGCCAGGAACTCCATGCATCCTCAACTTAACCATACACTGCCACCAAAGAGGCAGGTTTTACAAATGAAACTGGGCCAGAGAGGCTACGGAACAGATCGGTTACACAGAGAGTTAGTGGCAGAGGAGGGGTAAGAACAGGGGTTTGACTCCCAAATTTCTGTTCGTTCTACACTGCTCCACCATTAATGCCATATCCATAAAAGGCATTGCCTTCATCCCCCACATTCCTACTTCATGTCTTTCCCACCTATCCCATGGGACCAAAGATAAACACAGGTAGAAAAAGAAATGAAACCAAGGACTGATAGCCAAAATATGTAAAGCATAGCTGCAAAGACAAAAAAAACAAACAAAAACCCCCAAAACCCCCCAAAACAAAAAACAACAACAAAACACCAAAAGTAAAATAAAGGAGATAAATGAGCAAATTACAGAACAAAATCCAAATGGCTGATAAATATATGAAAAGATGTTCAGCTGTGGTAGTAATCAGGAAAATGCAAATAAAAACCATGATGAGATCGGATTTCACACTGTCAGACTGGTAGTAGGAGGCCAAAATGGATTAAGACAGGGTCAACAGAATTTTAGGAGACACTCGCAGATTGCACAGGACTTCTCAACTTAGTAGTCAATCAGTGGCAAATGAAAAAGAGGAAGGAGTTAAAATTATTCTTGGATTTTTCCACAAGGACGACTGAAAGGGCTATGATGCCATGAACAGAAATTAGTCAGTTAGGAGCAGGGCAGATCAGGAGGCTTAGATGTGAGCAGACCCTGGAATAGAGTCGAAAGGAACTGCTGGTACTGAGTAAAAAGAGCTGAGACTTGGCTCCAGCGTTCCCACAGCATGCGGCTGCAATTTCACCAGCGGGCTGTGCTGCACTATTGCCAGACTGCCTCTGAGGAGCGGGGCAGAGCCATCACAAAGAACATGTGTGTGCCATGGTAACTTTTTATGCTTCGATTCCTTTGAGCAATGTGTAAAATTTTTAACTTTTTAGAACTTCAACATAAGCAGTTTGACCCCAAGTCCACTTTGAGACAAAGGTTTCTACTCGTGTAGGCTTTCCCAGCTGACTGGCGGGGCTCTATCTGAAGCCCCTGCACAAGATGGGGCCAGCTGACTGCCTTATGTGGACAAGTGCTCCTGTTTTTCTGCCCCTCATTCCAGAAAGTGGTGTCCTAGCCAGGCCTGGCAGGACAGTGGGAAGGAATGCAAAAGGGGACAGCAGGATTCTGGGCGCTTCGCATCTAAAGATTACCACTGTATGCCAGAGTGAGCAAAATAGAAAATTAAAACCATCCCATTCGCTTGGGCATGGAAGCCAAACATCTGTAAACATTTCACTGTAAAACAAACAAACACAAAACAACCCACCAAAACTTCAGTTCTCAGCAACTAACATTTTAAAAAGGAAAACAATTCTGGTTACTGACCCACACCTCCTCTAGGTCGACTTTGGATTTAAAAGAGAAAAACTTTCATGATAAATTTTTACTCTTTGTGATAGTAATAAAATAAAAAAAAAAATTGTATTCCTAGGGTTTACATATCACATTATTATCAATTTATTTTTCTATTTCATCTCTTTAAGAGAAATGTGTTACTTTAAAATGATTATCAGTATTTTATATTGAAAGGACAATAAAGTTACTTTTAATACAAGTAAGGGCTTTCCATTATAATGGCAACTGTAAAAATGTTTTTTAATTCCTAACAGGGTGTGTGACACAGACTTTTAATATAGCCAATGTCCCTAAGAAGTTTAAAATACAGTATTATAAAAGAAAAGAGCCAAACAAAAATGTCTTTTTCTTTGTATGTTTGGGTATAAATACTGAAGAAGCTCTATAACAAGTTGTAAATTATGTGTGAAATGAATCAGCTCTGCTTAGCATATAAGCAGGGACTATGAAATTACTTACCCCCCCTCCAAAAAAAAAAAAAGAAAAGAAAAAAAAAAGTTTCCAAGTTTGCCCATAGATACCATGATTCAGTAGGAATGATCTGGCATGCCATGGTTTAGAGCAGAAGTTGGGAAAAACCTTTGCTCTCAATACTTCAGTGGTTAAATGCTAGGTAACATTTAGTATAGCAAAACAAACATAGTTTGACTCACTTGTATCTCATGTTTCTTTCCAAGTAAACATAACCTCCCTGTCATGGAAAGCTACCAGGCATTTGTGGATTGGAACTCAACACTTAACTCTAAACCGTTCCTTTAAGGATTAGGGTGAAAACAAAGTATCAGATGGGAAGGGACAGACATGTTGAAAGGAGTAAAAACGTGTTAATTAGGTTTAACTTTGTCCTTTTCAGGCAGGTCTGCATGCCTACATTTTTCGCCTACGTTTTTCTCCTGTTCACTCTCCTACTGAGTTCTAAGAATGCCATGAGGATAAGGACGGGTGTACCCTAGAGGTAGAGGAATATTGGTGGCCTTATTAGCAAGGCCTAAGGTTGGGTTCTGAGGGGCAGTAAAGCAAAGGGCTTCTAAGCACAACTCTGGAGTCAGTCACCCCTGTTGAAATTCCAGGTGTGCCAACTTTCTCAATGCGTCTCCTTGAGCAAGTTAGTAGAAACTTGGATTCTCCCTGTCACACAGGAACGACATCCACCTTCCCAGGTTACGGTAGGGAATGAATGCAATATTTTATGTATGGCAACGATTGGCCGGGGTGGAGGTGGGGCTGCACTCCTGGTTGGGACACTCGCTCCTCCTGTGTCCCTCCCTGTGCCCCGTGTCAGCAGTCGCTTACCACTGGACTCGATGATTTCTAACCAAGGAGGAAAACCAGAAGGTAGACCAACAAGGAAAATGACATTGAAGCCTTTTTCTTTGTGGAAAGAAAAAAAATAGTCTTTTGCATTTATTACGCAATCCCCAGCTGGGTTTGGTCACTTGCCCTGCCTGTGGCACACCGAAGGTGTTTTAACATGTGACCCACGATCTATGGCAACCGACACATACTACTGACACTGCCCCCAACCCAGGAAAGAAACCAGTCACCTTTTCTAATTTCATGATGTTAGCTGTAAGCTCTCGGCAGAGGACTTCGACATTTAATTGTACTTGTGACCCCAGGCTGGATGGTGCTGTCTGTCTGTAAAAACAAAGAGAAAAATTATGGCAAAGAAAGAAGTGCAAGAATGGCAAAGAAAGAAGTGGAATAAACACATCTGACATTTATTTGAACAGAAAACTAGGTTCTAATAGGAGTGAGTGAACATTTAACTTGGTACATCAGAAGGACCCTCCAGTCATCTGCAACTCCAGACTAGATGTTAGGTGACTAATTCGTAACAGCTCAGCTGGAACTCTCTTAAGCTATTTTTGTTTAAGTGGCTGTGTTGTGCTTTGGCTTCCAAACAAAAATCAGACAATTATTCTCAAGTACTTGGTTTCTTACACCCGAATATCTTCTCTATTCCTACTGCAGCATAAATTTACAAGAATTCGTGTTCTTCTCAGTCATATACTTATTTTTTATGAGAGCAGGAACCATTTACACCACAGTTTTCAGAATGTTTAGCCATGTCTTTAATCGAATTCCCGTTGAAGTGTGAGACTTTCCTCGTTCTTCTTTGAGACCTGCCATACAAATGTAACTTGCCATTGCCTTCTAATCTAACAGGTGCATTCATTATTTACCATTAGACAATGGCATGGGCTCTTACTCTGTGGTCCACTGGGAGTCCCATACCAGCTACAAGTAGAGAATGTGGAGATATATGTATATTTTCCTGTAGAGATGGTCTAAAGCCATCCGATTTTCATGTTAAGGTTAAAAACCACAGTTTGTGTTGTCTCTATTTCTTGGCTGTAATTCATTTGTAGCCTTTAAGTTTTTAGATGGCAATGACTGGCCTAACTTATTTTACACATGACCCATTTTTGAGATGTAGGCGCTTAGTAAATCGAAATATTCAGAAAGCAATCAGATGTTTTTCATTTATTAGTACTGACAGTTTTTTCTTTATCATCGGTCCATACTATCAAAACCTTAGATCTCCCAAAAAAATCTGAATCTTAATCTTTCAGTTTCTAGATAAGGGATCTGAAACCCAGAGTACTGATTTCTAAACATGAAATTCTAAAAATCTACAGGCTGTTAATGCATTAACAAAGCTGGCACAAAGCACGGCTCTCTGGCAACTAAGCGATCAGATTATGAGTGTGGATTCAGCAACCTGGCAGTGTGGCTGGATTACCCTGGAGGAAGTGAGGTACCAGGGAAGCTCGGGTCCCGGAAAAGTGCTTTGACAGCCCTGCCCATCACAGGTGTTCCCTGATCTCATGTCATATGTGATCTTTGTGATTCTTCCTTTAAGTGATTATTTTTCATATTGTACCGCTTCCTTAGTTGATTAAATAGTAGAATATTTCATTTGCCTTTGTTAGTGGAATTTCCCTCTTCATCACTAAGTTAATTAAATTACAGGACATGAGGTTCATTTTCCTAAAGTAACCAAACTCTTAAGTGACAGTGAACAGAAGTCTGCAATAATCTAGAGTCAACTCTTAACTATAAGTGTATTAACATTTTGAACAAGATAGAAGAGAGTAAGGGCAAGGTATGACTCTCTACCAAACCATTCTCTAGGATTTTTTATTACTGGTTCAAATGTATTTATGGTTCAAAAATAACCTGTATGCCAGCATACTTGTAAACCACAAAATAAGACTTTTAGGTACTTATTAGAGCATAAAGAAAGGCTTAGAAAGATAGAGCATCATGGTTCTTGAAGTGTAGATCCCAGGCTGGCATCATCACCGTCACTTTGGAACTTGATAGAAATGCAAATTCTCAGGCCTAATCTCAGATCTACGACATCAGAAACTCTGGGGATGAGCTCTGTCATCTGTTTTAACGAACCCTCTAGATGATTCTAAACATACCAAAAATAGCATGACCCAGTTCAAGGCCGTTTCTTATAATTGACTGGTAGACTGGGAAGCCTATGATCTTTATAATCACATAGACCTGCATTTGAGTCCTGATTCTATTACAAACTGTAAGACATTAAGCTAATTATTTCTGAGTCTCAGTTACCTCATCTGTAAAATGGGAATCATAGTTATAAGGTTATGGTGAAGATAAAGTGAGAGAAACTATTTGTGCGTGTATGTATCCTAATAGAGCCTCTAGCACATGGTATATACTCTGTAAAGAAATACATATCTTTACTTCTAAAGCTTGGGCTAAAAGTATGTTTTCTAACATAGAATAACATATTTTATTTTTTAGGCATTGCGTCAAAATCCTCATGTAAATGGGTTTAAAGGAAAGAGCTCTATGTTTGAATAGGTCTAGGTTTAATTAGGTCAGGTGTATACAAAGTACTGTGATGGAAAATCTTCACAGGCACATTCAACTAATTACTAGTCACATGGATGTTTATAGTGGTCAAGAGTTTTGTAAATAAATGAGATAATGTAAAGAGTTATAGGTGATTAAATGTGCTGAGTTACTTGAAGTGCTTCCCAATGAATGTCTTAACTCACTGCAATTTTACTAAGATAAACGTTTATATTTCAATAAATGGGCCAAAATCACAACTGACTCTTAGGATGACAGAATGAGATAATGTAAAATTAGGCTTGTTTTGTGACTTATTACTGGCAACTCTATAGCAACTCAAGCGCGTGCACAGTCAGGTCTTCCATTTCTAGGACCCTCCCACCTCTTTACTTCCCATATATACACTTAACAGGATGCTTCATACAGAATGTATCTTCAATATTTGCTAAGAAGGATGCTAAGCTCAGGTCAAACATTCTACTAATCTGCAGGGCAAGCAAACGATAGCACTGGAGGGAAATGTCTTACTCAGTATGATGGGTGTCCACAGTGGAGGTTAGTGACCCCAGCCGCTCCTCCAGAGTATTAATTCTGTATCTCATGTAGAAGGTTGAGATGATGAGGGCACAGACACTGGAAAGAGATAAAAGCGAAATCTCAGTGATTAACGGCCAGGACCTGATGTTCATAAAATAATAAACTCAGAACCAACGTACATTAGAGGTAAGGTATTTTCCAAAATAACTTGGCCAAAGAGACTTTAAAAAGGACTTTTTCCAATAGGCCGATGTTTGTCACAAAACTTTAAAGCTGGAAGGGGATTTAAAATCCCTTAGCCTAAGTTCCTCAATTTACATGGAATTCTAATAGGATCTCTCAAGGCCATACCCCAGGCCAGGGCTCCTCGTTCTGCATGGTGCTGTGTCCTTCCCCAGAAGGGCCCAACAAGTGAGTGCCCAGTCTTGTTCTCTGGTGACTCACAAATCCCCTGCTTTATCCAAACTGGGCATATCCTCCTTGGTTGTGAAGAACAGCCTAGAACTGGGTCAGGCTATTTTCAGATGAACAACTGGTGACAGTTTGGAAGCTAAGGAGGAAAAAAAGTCATTGCCTAAATTTTCAATGATGGGGATGACATTGTAAAGTTGTTTTGGCCTCTATCCAGAGAACATGGGATGGATGAAAAAATAAACAAGGATAAAGATGCTTTATCATTCACAGAACATTTCCCAACCAATAGTATCCACTCAGAACTTAGTCTTCTGCTGGAGTTGGCACAATCATTTTGCTTTTTCTCTTTTCTTACTATTTAATTGAGAAGGGAAGAATGTGAAAATGTGACCTAAGCCTAAGGGGAAAAAATGTTGAAGTAGGAGACAAAAATTGCCAAAAAGCTTTGGGTCACATTAGAGACAACTGAGATTTACGATGGCTCTTGACAATGTGAAGAGATTATTCCTTTAGAGAACTGAATTGTTTCAAGTCACTTATACTAAATTCATTTACTTACACAATTGCATAGAATATTAGAATATGGTGGAGAGTTGGACATTTCTGAGACTTGTCTTTGTTTAAGATCTCAATGGTTTCTGACTGACCTGTTGGATGGAAAACGAAAAGTGACAGTTTTAAAACACCAACACACCTCCTTCACCCAGCAATACTGCTATGGGGACGAGGTACTTGAAAGAGATAATTATTCCTCATTAACAGAAATCATAGAAAATGCTAACTGAAGCCTTCCAGGTGTCATTTTAACCATTTACAATTCCTCCCAACACATTTCATTCAATACATATTTATTGAAAGCCTTCTCTATGTCAAACATTGTGTTAGAGTGAATGGTGGACTTTATAGATACCATTTTCGTTCTCATACCAGTACAACTGGTAACCTGTTACAAGAATACTTAGTAAATAAGAAATAAATAATTTGAGTTTTAGTAGCAATTTTGTCTCAATCTCAAAGTATTCAAAATAATGAAGGGACCTCCATGAAGGCTATTTGCCTTTGTATCACCCATAGTAAAGTGGAGGACTGGGTAATGTTTGTTGAATGAATAAATGAATGAATAGGCAAAGACCTACAACAGGAAGGGGGAGGAAGGAATATGGAAGGCAGTCATAAAATGAAACACGAGGGCCCTTTCAAAGTGACAAACAGATGCCTGTATCCAGCCCTCCAATCGTCCATTCCTTACCGTGTGTAGGGGGACTCTTGGCTTTTCCTTCAGGCACTCTGTTTACATGGGCATCTACCCTAGTTGGTGTTGTTTCTCCCTTGGAGACATTCAGAACTGTCTGAGATTCTGTCACATGGAAGTCTATCAAGCCAAAAAAGAGCTGAGTAAGTTTTCCCCTCAGAGCATTTAAACACATAGAATCAATCACAAAAGGAAATCCATATCTTAACACGCATACTAGCCAAGAACACAAATGGGTCTTTTCACAAATTGCTTGAGTGGTTGGGATTGAAATCCAACGATCAAGCAATAAGTAATAAATGATATAAGGACAGTCTGTCCTTACCCCGCTGAATCATGGGGATGATTCGGCTATAACAATTAATATTATTGAAAAAAAGAGGTAAGAAAACATTGTATGTTTCTCTCTTGCAACCAACTCAATATTATGTAGATTTGAGAGACATTTATTACATGTGTGTAAATGGAAATGGATCTTTACCACATAGGCAATTCCGTTTTCTGGAACTTTCAAACTACCTATTCTCTAGATTCCCTTTCCAATTGTTAACTAGGAAGACAAGGAGTTTTGCTGCTGGTTTTGTTTTTCTGTTTTTAATAAGTGGGACGAAGATGCTTTCCAGAGAATTAAATTTTAGTCAAGACAAAAATGTTTCCCAGACCTCTAGAGTTCTCGGATTCAGGAGTCTGAGAACCAGAACTGCTGTATCCTTCCATGTCTTGCCTTCTTTGCTGAACCACTCCATCCAGATCTGAGAACTCATCATTGAAATCCTGCAGGGAAATAATGAAGTGAAGAGAGGCCAATTTCCCCTTATCAAACAAGCAGGCCTTTGTCAACTCCAGACTTTTCACTTAGGCCTGACCTATAAAAGGTGGAAAAGAAGGAAAGATTACTCCACACTACTGGGATTTTCCCAACAAATCACTGAGTATCTGGTTACCAAAACTGAGATTTTTCTGGGCAGTTAGAATTCTATCAACAAACAGTGGCCAACTTGCTTGAAACAACAAAGATCTAAGAACAAAAAGTGGAAACCTGTTGACTGAAAAGCTTCCAGGGTAAAGCTACGGAAGCCTCAATTGGCATGCTGTAATGAGAAAAACTGATTGAAATATGTGACAAAAAAGTAGCAAGTTCTAAATGCACGTTTGAGTATATGGACACAGAGAAAGGTATCTTTCGATTATAGCTTTAAAAATGGTATTGGAAACAGAAAAGGGAAAAACAGCTTTAACAAAATAGACCGTGAAAGGAAAAGTTTTAGCTTTTTTTCTTCTCTCAACTAAATCAAAATAGAGTCAGTGATATGACATTTACATTACAGAAGGATGACAGAGTGAGGAGTAAGAAAAAAACAGGGATGTTGTACTTTTATCTCACTCATCCCCTCAAAGTGCTTAAGGACTAAAGAGACAAGAGGTGTCAGTAAAATGTCCCGGCAAGGTACAATTAGGCCGAGCTCTTCACAATTTAGTTGGCTGTCAAAAGGAGAGAACTGTAAGCAAATTACCAGTCTTTCACCTTAAACTAGCTTGTCTTTTGGTCATTTCAATACATTTCAATTTCACGTAAGAATTTACAGGGGAAGGAAAACTGAAAATTGAAGTCACTTCAACTTAATAATTACCTATGAATGCCTATCATGTTTCAGGCAGTATGCAAAGCTCCTTACACACATGATTACACTTAATCTTCACAGCCACACTGTGAGTCTGGCATTTTACTAGATGAAGAAACTGAGTCAGCTGTTAAAGAGCTTGTGCGATGGCATAGCTCAGCTGGGTGGAACCCAGATTTGAAACCAGGTTTGCTGGATTCCAAAGCATAGATGTTTAATTCTATTTTGTAGTGCTTCCCACTATTTTTAAAAGGTTTTAAAAATGGTTTTTAAAGTTTTTTTTTTTAAGTGTATAATTCAGTCATTTTTAGAATATTCACAACGTTGTGCAACGAAAAAGAAACTTGCCTATTAGCAGGCACTCCCAATTTCTCCTTCCCCTACATCCCCTGGCAACCACCAATCTACGTTCGGTCGCTATGGATTTGCCTTTTTGGGACATTTAGTATAAATGGAATCATACAATATTGTGGCCTTTTCTGTCTGTCTTCTTTCACTTAGCATAATGTTTTCACAGTTCATCCATTTTGTACTATATAAACAGTAATTCTTCACTCCTTTTTATCAGATAATATTCCATTGTAAGACTAAATTATATTTTATTGATCCATTCACCAGTTAATGGACATGAGGGTTGTTTCCACTTTTTGGCTATTATAAATAAAGCAGCTATGAACATTCTTGTATTTTTGTGTGAATATGTTTTCAATCGCACTATTTTTTAACAGCTCTCAGAAAAAGACTTACATATGTTGAAACCATGGGCTCATACCACTTTGCCAATGGTATTTCCACATTTAACAATAATCAGTTTGGGAATACTCATTTGAATCATATGGCAAGGGCTCTCCTGGGCCAACACGAGATCGTCATGCGTACAAATCTTGCACAAATGTGAGGTGGGGCACTACTTCCCACCAGGGACTTCATTTTATAGACAACAAAGTTTAAAGGAATCCAAGAAGCTCTGCCTTTCACTTGGGCACTGTAGCTTTATTTCTCTTCTTTATAATAATATTTCTAGGTATTCCTTATTTTTTTCACTAAGCTGTCAAGTCTCTGAAGACTTGACAAGAACTAGTTTTACTTTTTCCTAGTGTCCTTACGGTGGACTCTAGCATGGTGTCTTGAACACAGAAGGCAGTCATCAATCTGTGGGATGAATCATGCCCTATCCCAGATAGATGGGCGAAGCTCTCTAAAACAACATGATAAGCAAATGCAAAAAGACTTTGTGAGTACATTCAGTGACCATTAGCTCACAAGACAGCCCACTATCATGTTTCTTGGCAACCTTCATTACTTGAAAAGAGTTTATGACCTCCCATGGTCCTCCTCTTCTTCAGGACAGAAATGCCCTGTTTCTTCAATTCTACTTCAAATATCATGGTCCTAAGTTCCTCCTGCACCCTGGTCATGGTGTAAGACGTGTAACTGCATGATAGATTCCCTTTCTTTTGTATTTACATAGTTATGCAGGCAACTCACCAAAGGCAGAGATGAAGGGCGGTCTGCCCCGAAACTGTTTTCAAGAGAAGATGGGTTGGGACTGTTACCAATGCTTGTGTTCTGAAATTATTGAAACAAAGTGAAACATCAGGTTAACTATGAAACTGTAAGAAACAGAGAAGACAGATAGCAACTGAGGCTCAGTGATGTCATACTCACTTCTAAGTGTCCACACACAGATTTCAGTAGTTTGTAAGTTGAATCTCTGGAGAGTAAGGAGACAAATATGTACTGAAAAACAAAACAGAATAATTAATAACAGATACTGCCTGATGAGAAGCGAGAATTGAGAGTTCAAAAATTTATGTCTATATATTTTTCATCTTAAATGATGTAAACCATTATCTGGTCTATATTCTCATTCTGCTCACTCACACATTCAGTTTTTACTCCATTCCCAAAATAAAGCAAGTATAGACCCCACAACAGCAACAAAACCGCCAAACCCAATTTAGGTAATAAAGATATGTAGAGCAAAATGAAGGCTCCAATACCCTGATAACGGTGCCCTAAATAAGCACAGGTAGGAAAAGGCCTGGACATGAAAAAAAAAAAGGCTAGTGATATTGGCTAGGTCCTCTTTAAAGGCTCTCTGTCTTCCTAAGAGGTATTTAACAATTCCTGAGGGTCAGCTTTCTCTGCTCTGACCTAGATTTCCATCGACAATTTCCCAGCAGCTCTAAGAGGCTTGTTCTTTTTCAAGCCACTTCCAGATTCTTTCCTGTACAAATATGGAGATTTTTGTAGTGGATGTTTATAAGTAAGTTATGGGAAAAGAGTACAATCAGAGCTAGACAAGTAATTTAGAGACCAATGACATCAGGGAAAATGATTTTACCATAAACAGTATGTTGAGAAAATATAAAAACTCACTCTTTTACCATCTATTTGAGCGACAGAATCTTTTCAGACTCCCTTTTCCAAAGTCTGTGATCACTCCTATGACTCACCCACAGAGAACGTGGTATGATTTCCAAGCGTTATATTCTGAAGTAGTTAACATTCTGGGTTCTGGCATCAGACACATTCAGTTGCAAATTTGGGCTCTGACACTAAGTAGGTGACACTAGAGAATTGCTTACTTAATCCCTTATAGCTTCCATTTTCTTAACAATACCTACTCCTCTTATAGGGGGGTAGTGTGGAATAATGTGCAAACACAAAGTATTTAGCATATGCCTGGTGAGAAGTACTTGTTGTTTATTAGCTGTCAGTATTTCTAAAAAAGTTTTCAAAAATAGGTTATTAACATATTTCCTAGCTCATCAGAATAGCCTCTTTTATCTTTCTTTTTCCCCTTCTTCCCTCTTCAAGTTATCCAGTATGATTAGAAATGAAATGGGGCTTTTATGTCTTCATAGAAATAGGAGATAAAATATTAAAAGAAATAATTTCAAGTGAGATATGAGTAGCCAAACGATTACGACTCCCTCCCCAAGCTGAAGTAACCACCGCTCAAGCTGAAGTAACTAACCACCGCTGAGTGCCAACATTTCTGGCTGCGCACGTCTGGGGTCGCCAGGCAGTCAAGAGCAGTTTCTGAGCGCCACTCCCACCTCGGGGCCTCCTCAGTATCACCCTGCCTCACTTCGACAAAGTGGTGACAGCGGTGGTTTTAAATAATATTCAAGAAACCGAACATATCAGTTTAGCATGGCCTAACAGATGTTGGGGAAAGGGAAGCAGAGTAAGAATTTTACTTTTTTGACCTTGATCAAGGAAGTATAATTAAGTTAGCAGGAAATTTAAATTTAAAATGGGCAACGATTAGAATAAATCATCTCGTGAGGGGAGATGAAGCAACACTACACAAATGTCTAGAGGCTAGGTTTTCAAAGTCGGTCTCACAGCATATTTCCTGATTCCTTGTGGGACATAACATTTACGGTTCAGGGTCCTAGTCCTCGGTGAGGGGCCCTTAAGGCGGTGGAGACCAGAGCAGGACAAAGCAAGAAGTGCTGGCTCTGCTGCATACTCACCCTGTCTGTGACTGTCGCTATAATCAGGGCATTTGGCACAAGAAGGGCGGTTTTGGTTTTCTTTATGAGGGTTACCGAGAAAGCCGGAATCGAGATCTGAAACAGAATCACTGAGTTAACACGCTGGTTAAGGCTTCACACAATGGCACTTCAAATCTTCATGTTAAAGGAAAAATAAAATATAGTTTTGAAGAAATCAAACCCAGCAGCTAGGGTCTCCAAGATCCACGAAGCAAAGGGAGTCTTAAAGAAGAACACAGGTGCGTCACCGAGCTCTCTCGGGGGCTGTTTACAAAGCCAAGGGGTAAACCTGGACCACCACTTCCACTGGCGGGATTGGTGGGGAACAGAACGAATGATTTACGTTCATTTTAAAGATAAACCCACGTCTCTGAAGAAGCGCTGTGGTCATCCACTGCAGGCTGATCTCCATATACCCTCTCCCCCGGCTTTAGGCACATGTGGGTGGGGAAACCGCTGAAGAGCACCGGTATAATAAAAACATTATTGGACAGAAATCTGGGACTGAAATTCTCAGCTGAGTTCTATTACTATTTATATGACCTACTAAACCTTATGAGCTATACTTTCCAGGCTTCAGTTTCTTAATATGTAAAATGGAGATAGTCTTACTTACTGCCCGAGATTTTCTATGGATTAAAGAGATAATATATGGAAAATTCCTAGTACTCAATAAAAGTGTCATTCCTCATTTGTCTCATATAAAGAGGATGAGTGAAATACAAGAACTCTAAGTTCTTTAGTTCTTTTCTGACTCAAATAAAGAATAATGATGAGGACAATTATAGCAGTTACCATTATTAATACCTATTTACCAGATGAGAATGTCATTTAATTATGACAATCCTATACAGCAGACTAAGAGATAAAGACATTTGTTTACAAAGGTAACATGACTTGCTCAAGGTCATAAGTATAAGAAGTTACAAAGATGGAATATGAACCAGTCTGATCTAAAATGTAGGTTCTTTTTCATACAGTGTACAACAAGATGCCACAAAGAATAGTAGATGTTCCTGATACTTTTATATATCACTTCAACCAGGTTTAGTCTCAAAGAAAAATGGATCATGTCACTTTGAGGTCTGAAAACAGAGCCACACACACCCATGATAAAAAGAAAATGACTAGAATCCTTCTATGAGCACACACATTCACTTGAACTTATATTTTGTAAAAATACAGTATGTATTCTGAAAAAGATCGACAAGGCCTGTGGAGAAGGCCTTATGTTAGTACTGCCAGTTTGAAGGAAGAAAAATGAGCTTTTAATTTTGAATATTTGCATTCATTTTTAGGTTTATGAGATATAATTATTCTACTGCCCCTCCAAAGTTCCAGAAAGGAAGAATGAGGGGCTAATCTAAATTAGACATTTTCTAAAAGCTATTTGCCAAAGAACTCTACCCATAAAAATTCTGAAGTGTGGGGGAGATTTTAGAAGTTTTAAGTTCAGATAATTTTGGAAAAAAAAGAATTTAAGATCTACCGAGCCCGAGGATATAAAAATGAATCTAATTTTGTTTCTGAGCAGCAACACAAACACAGTGAAAAAGGGTTATGTATTTGTTTTTTTTTTTTTTATAATCTAAGGTATGGAACACCCTTAAGAGGTTTTTAATCAATTGCTTCATGAATATAAAATGACAACTAGATAACATTGGAGAAATAAAGCAGAAGTCATTTTTCAGTTTGAGCCTAGATGGAATGTGATACACACATATAATTTTACTAGCATCTGAAAATACCAAGGGGATGACTAAAAGGTCTTGATTAGATTAAGGCTACACTTTATAACATTTTTTCAGGGTAGGATGCTTAGAAAATTCCCCTTCCTAGAGTAAATTGTTCAGTTGCCTTTAGTTCATACCTGATCTTAGACCAAGGTCTGCTGGCAGTGAGGACATTCTGCCACAGAGCTGAAGCCTCAATCCCCTTGACACCACCCTTAGGGGGGAAGAAATGTACAAGTCGCTACCACGGCTCTTATGTTCCCATCCCTGCTGATTTTCAATCTCTTGTCTCTTAGATACAGCACATGCAAAAGCAATCCTGGTGTGTTATGTCTTTAAAAACCAGGATTTCTCCTTTTACCTTTTTTTGTCAGTTCTCTCTTAGGTAGAAGTAGGATTTTGAAATCATGGCTAGAATCACATTAGCTTGATGCTGCACATACTGGCTTTGTGAATTCCCCCATCCCTTAACAAAGACTACTAACTCTTTGTTCACTAATGTCTTCAAACCCTGCTGCTTTGGTCAGGGTTTGAAGACATTATCTTTATCATATTGAAGTGAAGCTCAATACTTTCCAGTCTCCTTTGCCACTCCATTAACAAGTTCTCATAATCCAGACATCTAGAAATAGGGTAGAACACTGCCTAATATTGCTTTGTACCATAGACCTAATACTGTGAATAAAAATGTTTTATATAAACATTATATAATAAAGGAACAATATAAAAATAACATGTTTGACCTAAAAATAGTATGCGAGTCTGCTGACTCAACAGCAACAAAATAAAGAATTTCCATTTTATTTGTTAAGTGGTCTTTGTAAAATTGCCAGTGGCTTTAGGGAGAATATTTAAATATTTAAATAAAATACCACTCAAAACAAAGAATTTTTAATTACCTACTTCACAAATACAAATGCTGCTAACTCATAATCATGAATCAGAATGCTTGAAAACTCACTGAGGTCACACAAACCCAAGAAGGTGTGTCTCTGACTCTTTATTCTGGCATCCTGAATGAACTGCGATGTGACAGCACAGCTCAAAGGGGAAGAATGTCAATAGGACGAAATTATTTTTTCCCTTCTTACGCCACAGTCCCAAGGTCCTCGTTTCAGAAGACCGGTGCTTTGGGCAAACTGCCAATTCCTTTAGGCTATTCTCCTAATGGCTCAGGGTATCCTGGGCCCCTGCTCCCCAAGATCTGTATTTCGCAAGAATGAAAGATGTCAATCAGCGTCCACTGGGGATTGTGGGCATATGGCTCTCCCCGACTTTTCCTGTTGGTGATGATACAAAGTAGGCTCTAAGAAGCAGCTTATCGATGGGCCTGTTTTTCTAGATGTCTGATGGTCACTGGTATGAACACTACGAAAATCAGTTTTCTTTAAAAAATTTTTAGGTTTAATGTACATCTTTGAAACTCTGGCACACTTTTCATATGAGAACCTCGAGAGAGTTCTCTGGTGACATCTGGGTAAAAAGGATTAGGGCAGGGTTGTGGGAGAGAGAGGTGCATATAAGGAAATCACTGAGAGTGCTATTTAGGGGTAAGAGGGAAGTCAGAGTCATCTAGAGGGATGTAGAGCCTGTGATATTTAGAGCTACTGTAAAGGAAATTTGTAATAAAGGTATAATAATGATACAAATATTTATAAACATTACATTTAAAGTAACAGTCACAATATGTAGTAAAATTCAGGGTTAGCTTTCTTTTTAAAAAATTAAAAAAAATACTAACCTTAGTATCTTTTCCAAAGACCTTGGAATGAAAACAAATCCAGTTTTCTGATACAAAGAGCTTCCCTTGGTATAATATTTCTTTCTGTAGAGCACAGGTGAAACCTGGAGAAGTATATACAGGTATAAATAACATCATTTAGAATTTACATGCAAAGTGAAAATTCTGTACATATGTTGGTGACTCAGGGATGGGCAAAGATAAACTCACATACTCAAAAGATCTATCACCTCTTTTTCAGACATCTTTAGTGGAATAAAAGTATGGACACAAGAGTTTGTTTTTTCAGTCTTATAAACTTTAGTATAAAAATCCAAAGGAAAAGGCCAAGTCTGTGATTGCAAATGAGAGTTCACAAATGGTGTTTCAGAAGTCTCCTCTATTTAGGAAGGCGTGTCACCCCGTGCTAATGTTAGCACTCCAGCCCGGGCCTCCTTCCCTGGGATTGTCACTAATGATTCCTTTTGAAATAGATGGCCTGACTGGGGAAGAGCGTGTGACCCACACCTTCCTGTTTGGAGGTCATGGCTGGAATCCAGCATCTCACCTTAACCCTGTGCATGGAGAGAGGCTGGGACGGAACCCTGGGCCCCTGAAGAACCACATGGAGCAGAGCAGGTGCCTAAGTGGTGTGCTGGGCAACAGGTTTAGGTGTGATCATCGCACCCTGTGTAGAGCAGGTGTCACACAGGTCTGTCCACCTAGATCTGTGTTTCCTTTTAGCCTTCTTTTACTGGCCTCTCTTGCTTCAGTCTTATTATCCTACATCTCAGGACAATTCAAACACCACACTTCAGCAGTGAATTGGAAGGTGAGAATATCATTCTAGAATCATCTTGGAATCATCTAGAATCACTTGGATTCTACTACATGATATCATGTAGTAGAGAAATTCAGTTTCCCATTCTACCCAGGTAACTTTAAGGTGTTTGGTGAGAGCTGAGTGAAGCTGGCATCATTGTTACATCGTGACTTTCGGAAACCTGTACCCCTCGGTGATTCAGTCCCCAGACCATGCCTCCTTTCTCCCCACAAGACCTATTAGCATCTTTTCAAATATGTAGCTTAAAAAGTCAAACAGGTCAGAACTTACTTTGCCTCAGTGGTTCCTCAGTTGGGACGTCAATAAACAACTTGTGAAAGTGCATATTTGCCTTGTACTACAGTGAGAACAAAACACAAACATCACTGCTCTCAGGTTTTTGGTGAAACATCACAAATTTTAACTTCAAGTTAAGTTACGTAACCCATTTTCCCTCCCTTAACATAGTATCTTCAAGAATTCCACCTCTCTGTTCTTATAGTCTCCAACACGGCCCTTCAGTGAAAACCAGTGGAAGGCAAGGCACAAAGGTTTCATTTCCCAATGAGATTAGTGACCTCCTGGTTGGATATACATCTATGATCATGATGCAGCTGGTGGTCAGCCTTTTACTGAGGTGGCTGGACAAGGATGTCCCAAATTGGAAATGAGGTGAAACTCTAAGGAAGGTCACCAGGGAAGGTGCCAGGGCACTAAAGATACACACTGAGTAATCTCAGAAGAGGACAGTGGTTAAAAACTCTGGAACCAGATAAACCTGAGTTAAGTTTTGGCTACACCCCTTTGGTACATGATTGTGGTCTAATCATTTATCCTCTCTGGAACTCAGTTTCCTCTTTTGTGCCAGAGGCAAAAGTGGTACCTGCCTCAGTGGGATGCCAGAAGCTTACATGGGACATACAGCTGAAGGACCTACTACCCGGTACTGTCACTAACACTATTATTTTTGTGAGGGCATTTATTTCCTTAGCCTTCACAGGGAGAGATGGCTGTCAAGACAAGTAGGATTTCTCTCCAGAGTGGCAGAAGGTCCACAGTCTGAAATGCTGCAAATCACTTTATTTTCAAGGCATCTGTTCTGTAATGTGACAACAATGACATACAGACCTCACTTCGCAGTTTATAAAATGTTTTCACAGACACTACCCCCACAGTAACCTAGGATCTGATGTCCCCACTCCATGGGTCAGGACACTGTGCCTCAGGGACACTGAGTGACTTAACTGGCACTACACAGCTACTAAGAGGTAGAGCTAGGTCCCCCTTCCACAGGAACACTATGCCTGACAGGACGCTTTTGATGAAAGTCTTACGTGCAGAATAGAGAGGTACCACAAGTAGGCCCTTGATGTTCTATTGTCCAAACTAGGTGTGGTCACAATGGCAAAAATGGTCCTAATATTGCCGTAAACAAGAGCTTCACACAGGTCATGCAGATAATAGACGGTCCCCTCACGTCAGCGATTTTATAGATAAACATCTCATATAAAGTAGGGTACCTCTGGCTGCTTCCTAAGAGTATACTTTGCATCCAGAAAGTTATTTTGATTAAAGCAAGGTGTTCTATTGGGGCTTTGCCGAGATTTTGTTTTTAGTGGCTACAGTGAGCACTGGTTGTACATTTAATTTAAAAATGGCCCAGGCCATGGACTCTTCAACAATGTCAATGCAATAAGAGGTTAAAAAAAAGGTAGTGGGACCGATTGAAATTAAAAGCAATATGACAAGTAAATCAGATACCTGGCTCTTGACTGGATGTTAGATGTTAAAGAGGGGGAAACTAAAAACCTTTATAAAGGACATTTGCTACTGGATAATTGTGGAAATTTGAAAATGGATTTTATATTGATAATATAGTTTTATATTTACTATTTAGTTAAATTTCTTGGCTGTGCCAACAGTGTTTTGTAACAGTTCTTAGAAGGCACATACTCAAGTATTTAGAGAAGTATCAAAAAGCCCCCAAAATGTTGGCCCCAATAAGTATGTCACACTCTATTATGACACAGAACTGGGCTTTGTTAACTATCTGGGTATATTTTAGAGCAGAACCAAAATTACTTCCGAAGGAGAATCACGACCCTGTTCACAGGTTTTCCTCCTGTGTGCAGTTCGGTGGCTTTTTCTTCACTCAGGTGCCTTACTGGACTCCTTCATTTTGATGCAAGGATGTCACACCTCTCCTGGTCTTGGCTAATTATCAGACAAGCACATGACTTTGGGCTGGTCTCTGCTGGGGGTGCCTCCAGGCACTCGTCAGAGTTAGGGCTCACAGTGTGGAGCTCACTACCACTCATTATGTGTTGAAAGGTCCGTTGTGAAATATAATATTGATGAAAAATTGACTGAAGGAGTTGCAGCCTGTCCTTTTTCCTAGATTCTCTAAAATCTATGCCTGTGTTAGTCCTGACCAGCAGGAAGCTGCATACTTGGGTTCTTTCCTCCCATTGGCTTTAATGCTTCTGTCACCCTCTGAGACAATATACATCTCATTCCCAAATTACCTGGCTGGAAGATGAAGACTTTTTCCTTTCAGTCTTAGAGTCATTTTTGCTTTCTGTTTTGGAGTCGTTCTTATCACTTCCTAAAGAGGCACCATCAAAACTGGATTTTGACCTGAGGAAAGAAAATCCAGGGAGTCTATAGAATGAATTTTTTATGCTGCTCATTAATGTTATTGTAATAAATCTTGACTATGATGCCATCTCACAAAGAAATCTGTTATTATTGATATCTCTTCTAGATATCAATAATCACTCAATCCTCTACAGGCATTTACATAGTGCATGTTGTTGGACTAGGGTGATTTCAGCAGGCTATCTCAAACTAAGCAATGGTAACCTACAGAAAAAAAAGTAAATCTAATGAAAATAATGATATCATTTCAAAAGTATTTTAATCAGTATAAAGAGCACAGGAGGCAAATTATGAAACAAAATTGCAGCTATAGTTCAAAGGATATATTTATTTCAGAAATCTATTAAATTTAACTAGTGTTGATTCAGTGGGGCATTGTGTTAAATGCCTTGGGACACATGAGACAGTCTTTGTCCTTAAGGAGCCTGTGCACATCAAACAACTTTTTAAGTCCCTATTGCAAGAAATAAATTTTGATAGCTATGTATGGGGACGGACGTTAACTACAGACTTATTGTGGTGAGCATTTTGCAATGTAGACATATACTGAATAATATGGTACACCTGAAACTAACATAATATTATATGTTAATTATACCTCAATAAAAAATAAAAATAAAAACAAAACTTCTTAGAGAGGCACTACGTGATTTAGCACCAAAACAATACATATTATAGGTGTTAGGAGGCGGTATAGAGACAATAAATCTAAGAGGAGGAAAGACAGGAGGAGACCAACAGAATAATGCGGGTTTAAGACATGGGCCTAACAGGATGAGCAGGAATTGGGTATGAGGAAAAGAGGTACAAAATATCCCAGAGTAGGAAAACAGTAGATGTGAAACCAGGATGAAAAGAACACGTTTGGGAAGTCGAGTCTTCCTTTGTTTTCTCAAGGGCAATTCCTTTCTGAGGTGATTCTAGGCCTGGTTATCCATTTTATTAGACTTGTGAATTTGCACATATCTTCAACCCAACAGCTCAACAAAGTCCCTTCAAAGTGGAATGCATGTATGAATTTTAGAGGTAGATACACGAACAAGTTAGATGATACAGTTATGTAGATGTTTTGTTTATTGGGGAAAATGGCACATGAAATCCATGATTTCACAAGATGATTCCAAGGAGGCAGCTCAGTTAAAAATATTTGGCTCAAAGCCAATTTAAAAAGACTCAAGTAATTTGGGTAGTATATGGGTGTGACAGCGACAGAAATGACTGAAGTTAGAGAGACATTCGGCTCTGGTTTTCTCAGCTGTGAAAAGATGGCCTATAACATGTCTTAGGCCTCTTTTAGCGCCAACAGTTTGAGTCTGTGATGCTCAAACCACAGGTGAAGTACCTCTCAGCAATTCAACGTACACTGATCTGGATTCAGGCACTGGCCACTGAACCTATTCACAGATATGAATTTTTTTAGAATTCTAGGGATTACTTTAAAAAAAATTATGAGTCAACATTTGTGCTCTACCTGAAAGAAAATGATTTTTTCAAATGTGAAATTACCTATTATTTCTATTATCCACTAACTTGAATTTATCAACTCTACTGAATCAAATTAATAAATGTGAATGGAATTGTCAAAGCAATGATCAGACCCTTTGAAGAACTGCGAACTGGAAGCAAATGTGACAAGTAGGGCAGCTGTACCCTTGAGAACTTCAAGAGGCACAGGCAGAAGGGGCTTGTCTGCGGAGCACTGGCCTTGGTGGTGGTGGGGAGAAGGGGGTGCATATTTTCATAGCATCGATTTCTTTGCGTCTTTTCAACTGCATTATTCTCACTTCCCACAAGTGACTATGAGCAGGACCAGAAGCCCAGTGCAAAATGAAAATGCGAGTCCCCTTATTAAAAAATTAAGAATTTCCAGACAGTGAGAACGGAGCATTAAGCATTAAACCAAGTGCTGGGCTCTTTGCAACTATAAAGATCATATGCCCTATAAAGTTTAACAAGCATGCCCTGATGATGAGTGGATTATTCTCATCTAAAGCCTGGGGAAGTTGGAGTCAAACCAACAGTGTTTTAAAAGTGCCTGAGGTAGCCAGTCAATGGTGGTGAAAGATATAAGAAACAACATGCTTTGTGCCTCTGAAGAGAGACTCATTTGGTGAGTGACACAGGATGCTACGACAGGAAACAGCTATAGAAAACATGATTAAAAGTGAGATGTCAAAACAGGCATTCAGAAAAGATGAGATAATTGCAAGTGAGGCAAATCTGGGAGAAGAGTGAAGACTTACGCTTGATCTTGCATGAAGTATAGATTTGGAGAGAAGGTGTGGGCTGGGTAGCCGGGAGGGAAGGGAAAGCAGGAGTTATTTGATCATCCTTTAGCAGAGGCCAGAAAGACACAGACAGCAGCTGTTCTGACAGCTCTAACAACGGGGAGGAGAGTAATCGCTCCTCTAGTCCTACAGATCAATGGCCACGGTACCCCTATGCGACCCCTGGTTTAACTATCCTCTTTTAAGGGCAAAAAGGCCACTCTTAAGTTCCTACTTCTCCCTTCCATGTGGAAGAAAGCACATAATTGGTGCCATCAAGAGTGAGGGGGACCACAGCTCCACATCTCAAAACTGCCTGCCCCCTCTACAGCCCTGCAACCAAACCATGGCCCCAGCACTGGCCCCAGGAAATGGGCATCCCCCTGAGACATGCACACCCTGCCCAGGAATCCCAGACAGGCTTCCCTGCTGTTCTTTTTCGTGGCAGCCAGGAGAGTGAGGCAGCAGGTGTGCACACCCAGAGGCCGAGCAGGCATTCCAACCTGGGCAGGCCTCGTCAGGAACCTGGCCAGCCTTTCCAGGTGTTTGATAAATCTAAGCCGAAGAGAGAGCCACCCTGGCTTTATCAGTTTGCAAAATCAGTGCTTTATGAAAGAGGCAGACATTTTGCAGAAGACTGAGGGAGAAAGGAGAAAAAGATGCTACTAGGAAGAGAAGAGCGAGGAAGGCAAGCATCAGCATTTGGATTTCAAGGAAAAACACTCCACTTCTTTCTCACGGGTGTTATTTGCCTATAGCAGATCCTCACTCTTTTAACAACTACCACAAAACTAGAAACACCAGCTCCTCCCAGGAACCCCTCCTCCCCAAGAGGGCGAAATGAAGAGTCAGTTGAGGACTCACCGCAGGCAGATGATTCTCTTCTGGTCTGGGGACTCAGCCTCACTGGATGGGGTTGGAGACTGGGCTGTTGGCGACCTGCAGGCCTTCTTTTTCTCCTCCACACCATTCTCAGCCTCTGAGCTGGAGAAGAAAGAAAAACGCTTCACCTTAGACATCCACAGGGGGTGGACAGAAAAACAATGAGTCACCTGGCTTTCTGGAGAGTGGAATGGTCTTCAATCCCCACAGACAGGCTGAGGTCAACTTGGACAGCTGTGCCTTTTCCAAATCTCCATGCTAACCCCTCTCAGCTGGCTTCAACAGGTAAATATCCGACTTTGCTGGGACCTGCTGGCTCCCAGGTCTGCTCCCAGTGGGCTCTGTCCTGCCCTACCGAGCCACTGGAGTGGCGATCCCCTGGAGGCTGGGAGGGCCCCCACGCATACTCACTCATTTGCCTTCAGCCAGGTGTGAGCCTTCCTCCTGGGAACCCCCACACCCTTTGTTTGCACTTCTCTTATGTCACGCATCACCTTTTGTTGTAGTTGCCTAGGTCCCACTTTGGGTTGCTGTTATTTTAGCCAAGCACCGCCTCTCAGCGAGTTACCTCTGTCATCGGCACAACCACCTGGGCTAGATAGACATTATTATCCCTAGTTTGTAGATATGGAATCTGAGACTCTCAGATACTAAGTACCTTGCCAAAGTTTGCAGAACCTCGCATCTGTATGAGTTGGGATTCAAATTCAGGTCTGTCCATCTGTGAGGCCTTTGTGTACACATGTGTATTCTCCCTCTCCCTCCCCTACCCTCTTCCTTCCCCTTTCTCTCCCCCACTCCTTTTCTCGCCATCCCCCCACCCAGCTCCCCATCCATCCATCACCCCCAGACACCTATCTATCCACTTAGCCCCCTTATTAGCAATTCAGTGAGAAAGCTCCAAGGTGGGGCGGGAATCTTACAAGTTTTTATACTGACCACAGGGTCTACAGGGTCTAGGATAGAGCTGGTATCTAATCATGATCGATAAGCTTTTGGAAAACTAGGTCTGACCTTGGTAAAGAGGGAACAGAGGGGAAAGTCAGTCAAGAAGGTCTGCATACTGAACCACTACAGATGGAGGTCGACCAGTGTGGTGGACACGGGAGTTCCCTCAGCCTCGGGAACAGAGGAAACCACCTCCAATGGGGGAAGAGGGAGAGGAAGGGACCAGGTAAGGGAGAATACAGGTGTTACACATGGATCAGGACCTTCCTTGGTCAGCCTGCACAGCAAAGAACTCACAAAACATGCTTCTGAGAATGTGAGAACTCCACAGTGGCCGAGCATAAAGTGAGAACTTATAAGACATAGCATTGCTATGATAGTTTAGCTAATTTTAATTCTAATTTACCACCCCTTCAGTACCTTCGCCTGTAAATAAACGTGCAGGCAGGAAGTGTTATTGGTTAGTTTAAGCTTTGTGGTTGCCGACTTACAACTCTTAACAGCACGTGAAAATTCTGGCCCACACTAGGAGTCCTATGGTGGTGTCAAAATCAAGACCAAGGATCTCTGACAAGGTATCCATTAATAATCCCTACGATGGCTGATGCCCTCATTTTGTAGTTAGCATTCCTCTTTTCCTAAGATAAATATTTGAAGACAGAGGTCCAACCCTCTACTCCTTCAGTTCTCGAAGTACTTAGAACACTTCCGTATAATAAAAGGGCTCAGTTCATAACTGAACTGCATTATGTGACAAAAGGTCCATGAAAAGCCTTGAAATATCAGTAGGAAAGCACTACTTTCGTTCCAAAGAGAGAATTTTATTTAAATTTAGAATCAGGTTTAATTTATGGACTCAAAAAATTGTAGAACTGTTAAGGGGCCTTCTAGCATACCTCTGCTTTCCCCTTCTATCCCCCCAAGATACACACAGCACTCCTGTTCTTCAAAAGCACCAGGCAGAAAACCACTCGAGGGTCTCTCTTTAAGTGGGGAGATTAAGTGTGTGCGGAACTTCAGTAATCCACCTCAGCATTCATTCAAATATTTATCGCATTTTAGGCAGGGTCAGATTGAGACTCAGGGGCAGGGCAGTTGTCCTGCACAGCACCTTTGTGTGCTTAGAAAGGGCCACTCGCACGAAGAAGCACTCACCAAGAGGTGGCCCTCTGTGTGGATGTAGCCCCATTGACCCATGGCCTGGCAGGGATAAGGGAAGGTGCCCCTTGCTTTGGGCAGCAATAGCCCAGTGCCAAGATGCAAGGAAGTGAAGTTCGCCTGCATTTCAGCCCTCCTTGCCCCTCGCCGGCCTAGCGCTTTTACACAGTGCAGGGTGCCGAGTACTTTACCACGCGTGGCAGTCCCGATTCCAGGCCCCCAGCTTAGCATACAGTGCACGCCTCTGTATCAACCCACACGAGCAAGGTCTCAACGACAGAACACACAGGTCTGTTTAAAATGGCTTCTTTCTGGAGAGTCTCCAGGCCACTTTCCCTTAACCTTGCATCTGGCCTCCAGCATGGTTTCTCTCCCTGACGGCCCTCTCCAGGCGCACAGGCTCCACAGAGCCTGCCAACCCAGGGGTCCCGGCTCTGCTGCTGCTGGCTTTCTAACCTACTAGGCCCCGAATCTATTACTTGTACAGTTAACTTTTCCTCCCAGATGGCTTACTTATCCAGCTATTAGACTAAATTCCTTAAAAGCAAGGAACTTCAGTTTTTTTCCACCTCACTTAGCTCAGCATTTTGCTCACAGTAGTCATTTGAATGTGTTGACTGATGTGGGATTAATTGTGTAGTATCCCAAAGAAGAAGTGAAGTTCATTTATGGGCCAATTCAACATTAGGTTTTTGTTTACTTAAAGATGCTACAGAGACTCAAGCAAGTTAGTTCCTACCACAGGAGAGATTACTTCACAAACACTCTTTATTGGAGGTATTGTTAGCGGCAGGTTGAAACTATGCAGAATTCGGCCTGTGTTCCGGGAGCAGAGTGTGGGAGGGGAAATGGAATGTCTCCTCAAGGCCTCTCAGTAACTTTAAAGTTACTGTCAGTGTAGCTGACTAGGGAGATGAAATAACAGGTCTTATTTAAATCATGAAAATGATTTTTTTTTTAAAGAAGACAAGGCCCTTTCTGGTGCACTGACTAAAAGAGTCAACAACAAAAAGCCAAAACAAAACAAAATAGCAATCCCCCTCTTTCAATAAATGTTATTGTCCACCCTGAATGCGCCCGATCTCATCCGATCTCGGAAGCTAAGCAGGGTCAGGCCTGGTCAGTACTTGGATGGGAGACCACCTAGGAATACCGGGTATTGTAGGTGTTTTTTTTAAAAAAAAAAAAAAGTTATTGTAAACATCCTGGCAGAGCAGGATGCTCAGAGCTGGGTAAGTAAGAGAAATAAGTGAGTGATAGTTTAAAGTATCCACAGCAGCAGCAGAAGATCCTGGGAACACAGGATTGACCTTCACTTGGCCATCGTAGGTTATCTCTTCTCCCATCTCCGACCCAATTTAAGTATCAGTTGTGGGCCCTGAAAGCATTTCAGTAGGAATTTCGGAGCAATGGGACACATAGTCATGTTTATACCAACCAAACCTAACTTTATCTATTAGGGGGCAGCATTTTTATTACCAGCTATGAAGTGCTGGTTTCAATAAGACACTGCCACACACTGTTATATGACTTATAAATAAAACAGGTTGGACAATCCCCATCAACAGTCCAATATTTGTCAATTCCCAGACTCCGTTAGTCTGATAACAGCTTGATTCATGTTTCACAAGTATTCAGAATTAGAATTCTTATATGGGGTCAAATATCATTCATCCCAGAGAGAACCTCTGGGTTTAACAGAAACTCAGCCCTCAGTTCTCCGGTCATATCAATGACCCTTCTGCTGAGAATGTGTTATATTCAGGCAGCATTACATCCAACTCAAGGTAAATAGTGACTGGGCAGAATGATAATTAAGTTGCACTCCAGGTAAATGAAAACAAATGCCTCACTGTAGTTCAGTCTAGGAAGCTGTGTTCTTTTCTAATAACAGTGGCAAACCCTATGTTTGAGTCTACCTTCAAGTTAAATTAATCTAAGACATAAATGTCACAAAACTCCCTTATGATAGTATAGCGGAGGGTAGTTGTACACCCACTATCATTAAAAAAAAATATATATATATATCTGATCACCATTTCCTATAGCCACATCTTGACCACCAGAGGTTTAGAAGTGACTTGAAGATAGGATATGTTTCACCAGAGGCTCTCCATAGGATAAAATCCTGGAAATGGGACTGCTGTGATTCAGGCCAGGTCTGTGAAAACAGTTTGCTGAAACCTTGTGCTGAAAGCTGGGCTGTGCGTGCGCTCGCCCGGACCTGGGGCCGCACTGGCTGGGTGTGCTGCCTGTGGAGTGGCTCCGTGGCTGGCAGGCAAGGGCGGGAAGCAAAGACATGGGCTACAGGGGCAGAGGAGGGCTCTGGGGACTGCTGGGCAGCAGCCACAGTACAGACATCACGTTAACCAAAACAAGGAAGCAGAATGGGGTGTGGAAGGTGCAGGAGTTGGTGAGGGAGACCAAGACCTCCTCAAGCCCCCATGGTTTCTCCAACTGCAAAGCTCATTCTCCCAGACTAGATTTTAAGTCAGGAAGAACAGCCTTTCGTTTATGATTCTAATATACCTTTGTCTAGAAACTTTAAATTTTACTTCTTTATCTACCTACACAGTTATTTCTGAACAGGTATTAGAAGCACAAGTACACAATTCAAAAGTTGCAAATGGCAAAACATCTCCCGTCTACCCCTGTTTCATGGGGGCCCCGTTTCTCTCCTGAGGTACCTACTGTTGTTTCCAGCTCCTGTGTGTCTTTCTAGGGAGAATCTGTGTACATATGAGTGTTTTTAAAGCATAAACGATAGCATGCTATTTCATACTTTTTTTTTTTTTTTAACTTACTGTATCTTGGTATTTTTTCTCTATCAGTACACAGTTTCCTCATTTTTAATGACTGTGTAGCGTTCCACTGCAATGGATGAATTATAATGTAGCAGTTACCTACTGATGAGCATTTAGGTGGATTTCAGTCTTATTACAAATACAAGCAACACTGCAACAAATGTCCTTGTATGTTTTGTGTGTGAATATATC